CTCAGGCTATACTTGAATTCTCTGTTCTTTATATCCTGTATTTACTCAATTACTCAATTTTATCAATACTTAACTCAAAAAGTCTCTCAAACCTGCCCTTTTCTCTGTAGTTCCACTGATAGTTCCCTGCTCATAATTTCAACCTGAACCTCTGCAACATTCTACCTGCCAATTCCACTTAAATTTTGCCCTCTTGACATCTTGCCATACATGCTGGATTTTATTAAAGCACAGATCACATCATGCTTTTTAATATTCCTCTAGTTCAGAATATCTACTGACTTCTCCTTAAATGTAACATTATTTGTCAAGGTATTTTCCAAAAAACACTTTATGGGAAAATAGCCCCTTGTCATATACGTTTGGAAATGCATTTACTCTATTCTCCCATAGAAGATACAATTGCACATTACCATAATAAGGATCCTATAAATGTCCTACAGTTGAGAAACCTATATAAGGTTTTTTTTATATATAAGGTTTTTAATTCAGACATAAATATATATTAGCCTATGAACACTTTTTTTTAAATGTAGCAGCTAATAACATCTTGCTGAACTTATATTCTGAGAACACATCTTGACCTAAAGGATAAAATTAACACTGCAGCTTAGCATTAAAGTGAATGGAAAATGTAAGTTAAACAACATAACTGTAAATTATTCTGTGGAGTATATAAAATGTGTTAATTAAAATGCATAAATTTTTAGAACTGGAATGGAACTTAACGAAAATGTAGTCAAAATCATGTGTTTTATAAATTGGTTTAAAAATATAGGGGTGCCTGGGTGGCTCAGTTGGTTAAGTGTCTGTGTTTGGCTCAGGTCATGATCTCAGGGTCCTGGGATCAAGCCCCGCATCGCATCAGGCTCCCTGCACAGCAGGGAGCCTGCTTCTCCTTCCCCTCTGCTGCTCCCCCTGCTTGTGCTCTCTCACTCTCTGTCAAATAAATAAATAAATAAAATCTTTAAAAAAATAAAAATATAAATTTCCAAAGGTTACTTAACAGGTTGCTGGCAGAGCTAAGTTTAGGATTTTTAGTTTGTTGTCCCAAAATATAAATTCTATTTTTATCCAAGTTAAATAATTTAACATATGTTTATTTTCCACTACTATGTGCCTGGTGTATGCAAATATACCCTGACAATTTATCTAGGCATTTAACATTGCATTTTTATTTAACTCAGTTGGTTACATGTAAATTCCTAAGGGTCAAGGCTTCCTCCAGATTTCTTAATCTCTCTTACTGTCTAACATATTATTACACACAACTAGTCACTGACACAACACATTTATATAATATATTCTTGCTTAAATAAATTCTGATATTGATTAGAAATTAAAAGGGATTAGCAAGAGTGAGGGCCTTCTTCCTGGTTCTCGCTGAGAACCTTCTCGCTGAGTCCTCACACAGTGGAATGGATGAGGGATCTTTGTGGGGTCTCTTTTATAAGAACATGAATCTTATACCCTAAGACCTAATCATCTCTGAAAGACCCTACCTCCTAATACCATCACATTTGGGAGTTAGGATTCTATATAAGAATTTGGGGAACACAAATAATTCAGATAGCATAATCCCAACAATGGTGAAGGTTCAAGTCATCAACACTTTATATTGTCAGTTTTTATTAAATTTTGTCATACTATCTCACAATGGTGTTAATTTTAATTTTTATGATGACTAATTATGTTGACTATCTTTTAAATATGCTTATTTGCTATTTGCCTATAATCTTCCGAGAAGTGCCCGGTCAATCTTTAACCCATTTTAGTTGGATATTTATTTGTAATTCCTCATACATTTTCAATGTATAATCTTCAGATACATGAATTTCAAACACTTTCTCACAGCTTGCCTTTTCAGTGTCTTAATGGTGCTTATCTTGATGAGCAGGAGTTGATTTTAATGAAATCAAATTAACAGTATTTTACTTTATAATTGGTGCTGTCTGTATCCTGATTCAGAAACCTTTGCCAACCTCATCATGAACATATTCTCCTATGTTTCTTTTACAAGATTTAATGTTTTATCTTTCACATTCAGATCTTTGAATTTCTTTGAATCAATTTTTCTATATGGTACTAGGCTAGTAGGGTAGTAGATATTTTTATGGGGTCAGCTATTCAAGAAATAGAGTGCAGAAAGGCAGAGTGAGTTAACCAATGCATAGCTTCAGTTTGGATTTGCTGTCTTGATGGCCATTTTGCAATGTAACTCAGTGATGCAGCTGGAAATTTTAAAAAGGAAACTAATTACAATGATCTGTAATTAAGTCACTTCACTCTAATTGATCTCTATAGATTACAGTTTTATCAGTATCATAAGAAGTTGTACTGTTTTTTCAGTGATGTGCCAAAATCAATCTTTCACTCTGGGAGGTTATTCTAACTTGAATTCAAGTTCTGGATCAGCCATTAATTAGTCTGGGTTGCTACAGTGCATACTCATCGTTTTATCTGCCCGACACCCTTCCTTTTTCTGGAAGCAACAATCCACTCCTCCTGGGAGCCACACTTGTCCACTCCATCCTAAAACCGTATACTTACATAGAGATTTGCAATGTTACCACATTATCCCATTCCCCAACCCTAAGAAAGTCCATTTCAGCTCCTCCAAATCTATGCTAGTCTCCTAACAGCTTTTCACCTCAAATGTATTGGTCCAAAAGTGAAGGGGGCATTTCCTACAAATTGAAACCATCAGTGCTATTCTCAAGCTATTTGACACTAGTCATAAAGAGAAGCAGTCATACTGTTTTGATGGAAGGATCTTTTAAGCTTTAAAACCCTGGAAATATCAGTGCTACGCATCCTCCTACATAGAGAAAGCTGGGCTGCACTGAAGGAGAGTAACACTTGTTAAGGAGTGCAATAGCTATGAGAGACTTCTAACGGCATTCAGCTCCCTGACTCTCAGATCCAACCACAAACCTCCCTTTCTAATCCTAGCTTGTTCCACCTTCTCTAGAATGAATAAGCAAACTGTCTGAGCTGGCTTCTGATCCTTGTAACCACGGAAAGTCTAAAACTACTAAAATTAGGCAACACTGTAGGCCAATAGTTTTAAAGAAAGGAACTTGGTGGGTTTACAGCCCAAATTCTCATCAAGGTCTTTAGGCACCCAACTTCAGCCTGTTCCCTAAACGATGGGATAGAAAAATAAGCTATATTTTGCACTCAAAATATCACAGGGCCATATATCTCAAAGAAACTAATGGAAATAGAAGAGTCCTTGAAAAATACATTTTCTTTTTTTTTTTTTAAAGATTTTATTTATTTATTTGGCAGACAGAGACACAGTGAGAGAGGGAACACAAGCGGGGGGAGTGGGAGAGGAAGCAGGCTTCCCGCGGAGCAGGAGACCTGATGCGGGGCTGGATCCCAGGACCCTGGGATCATGACCTGAGCCGAAGGCAGACTCTTAATGACTGAGCCACCCAGGCGCCCCAAAAAATACATTTTCTTTTCTTTTCTTTTTTTTTAAGATTTCATTTATTTACTTGAAAGAGAGAAAGAGCAGGAGAAGAGAGAGGGGCAGAGGGAGAGGGAGAAGCAGACGCCCCGCTGAGCAGGGAGCCCAACGCTCGACTCGATCCCAGGACCCTGGGATCAGGGCCCTAGCCAAAGGTAGACACTTAACTGACTGACCCACCCAGGCACCCCAAAAACTACATTTTCAAAAATAAGATAAAGACTAGAAGTTTAGGTGATCGACTCTTCAAAATTATATACATATATATATATATATATATATATACATATATATGCATTCATATATATACAAATATACTTGTGGATTCAAATAGTTAATGATATGACACAGAGGTATATAACATGGCTACTGACAGAAAAATCAAATACATGTTAACATTTACAAAGTGTTGTGAAAAAATAGGTTGTACATTTCACTAGTGATTTTAATGAAGCTTAAAGCAAAATGGCATTGCTTTATTATTTATTATAAAACTACATATACCTTAACGGTGTATATGGCAGCTATGATTCATTATAGGAGTAAACAGAGAAGTCTCTAAATTATTTTAGATGGAATATCTGTTCTTGCATTTGTGAATCCTTACTGATAAGATTTCTCTTTCATTCCTGACTTATAACATCAGTGGCTGAACATGTGCATATGTTCCTTCTTTTTCTCTTCCTATGCTATATGAACACCCATCCTTGAATCCAAAGTAGAAAGAGCCTTAAAAAAATTTCAGTGTGGTTTTTCCATTATTTTTTACTGTGGAACTCTAAATCATTTTGAAAGAGGAAGTCTCACTCTCCTTCTGAAATCTGTTTCCCTTAGAGTGTAAATATGTTGGTTTATCACTTAAAGTCACTTTTCTATGAAAATCTTTTGAATCAGATACCTACCTAAATTGAGGGTGGAAGACTGGGGTAAAGGACTTGCTAGAATGCTAAAGATTTCTTTTTTCAGCAGTTCTGCCTGCTATCTCATAGAAAATCTGGTTAAGAAATTGGTTATACAAACAAATATATTTTATAGGAAACAAAGACAAAAATTTGGAAAATGTCTTTCTTTTTGAAGAGAAGGACTGAAGCCATGGGAAAGAGAAATCAGGAATTGAAAGTTGCATTAATGAAATAATAGAAAAATGCCAGAGATATTAAAATATAATTCTGACTGAGAAAGAAGAATAGCTGTGAGAAAGATGTGCAAATAGAACTGTATATGAAAATGGATCTTAATACATAGTTAGGCATGATGATCAATTGTTGCCATTTTAATTTGTATTTTCAAGGTTGAAACATGAGCTGCATACTTGAATATTATTAGACATATGCACTGAACACATGTGTGTCTACAATATTAAATGCTACATGCACATGTTTTAAATAGGACTCATGGAATTTGCAGACAGTACAGATTAAGTGTCATAGAAATTTACATTTGGAGGCGTGCATAAGATTCCTGCTAGTCTATAGATAATTTGACATTAACTCTTAATTAAATATATCTGGGTTCTGTATTTCAGAGATGATTTATACAATGAAGAAAGAACAGATTTTTTGGGTGTCTGTGTATCTGCTGCTTAATTGTGCCTCTGCCCTTCTTAGTGCTGTCCTTGAAGCTGAAGAATATACAGATATTACAGGTAAAATATAAAAGCATTCATATTTTTCGGCTAAAGATCTCAATTTTAATCCCAAAATGTAATATATTTTTCTCCATTGCGTGGGAAAATTAGCTTTTACATTAGTGACTTACATGTCTTACATGTAATTTGCCCCCCCCCCAAAAAAATTTAGACCAAAAAAAAATCACTTTAGAAAGGAAGACTTCTTTTTTTTTTCCAGGCGATAAGATTAAACATTGAAGTATCTCTGGACAATTGCAAGGAACAAAGTATTGTAGAAATAGCTGTGAACCTTGATGCCATCCTTTGGCTGGGAAAAGTGTGAGAAGGGAAAGGAAACTATAGATATTCTCTGCTTTTTTGCCTTATTCTCAAGAACTTCCCAGATGAGTCCAGTGTGAGAATCTAGTAAAACAGGACATTAGGAGATCTGGCCTAATACAAATTAGTTCTAATCTCATAAAGCTCCGTATCTAAAAATAAAATATTAACAATCAGCAATAGAACAAGGAGAAGAATGTACAGTGATTGTTTCTATATATTTCTTTCTTAAAAGTACTATTTTGTGGAAAATTAGTAAATTATTGATAGAAATCTCAAGTCACTGGTAATGGTGTGACAATATGAACAAAGTGATAGCTTCTATTGGTATGTATGTTGATGGTGTACCAAAGACTTCCATAAATACATTCTTATTTCATGTATCTAAGCACCCTTGAAAGGGATTTTGTTCAATGTACTTCCCTTTGATAAAGATTGAATAAATATATCTTATGTGCTTGAAATTGGTAGGTACTAGGGAAACAGTGATGACTCAGACCAAGTTCTGAAGAATCTCACAGTTTCACAGGGGAGACTATTAAATTGTCACTGGAAAAAATATTGTTATAAAAACTTCCTAAAGATGAAACACTAACAAAGTAAACACTATAACGTGCCTTATAAAATGAGAATTTGGGCATTATGAAATAAGCTCTAATTCTTCATTTGTCTCATTTATCAAAGGAGATGGTTTCTAATATTCTGGAAGCTGAGAAGAGAAGAAATGTAGAGAATAAAGTCCCCACAGAGAAAAAGCAGGCAACCCATCTTGGAAAGTGGGAGGAGAAAGGATCCCCAATATTCACCTAATCTGATGTCCCTCAGTTAGGCTGAGAAAATGCATGCCAGGTAATCAGAAGTTTCCTGACATTGTTGCTGCTGATACAGTCAGCCAAGAAACCAGAGTTAACCCATTAATAATTAAGCTGGAGTTTAAAAGCTCTTGATAAATTCAGAACAAGCAAAGCCGGCTAAGAAAACATTTTTTATCTGAAAGCTAGACTTGAAGATCACCTAACTGACTGGCTGCACAGTCTTAACCAGTTTTGGGTTTTTTTGGTTTTGTTTTGTTTTCAGTCTTGAAATAGCATGATCCCACATCAGAATCAATTCAATTCTGAAGATACCATTTATCACACTGTGCCAAGGTCATGCCATCTTTTTATAGAAGTATACCATTTCATCGAATAGTGTACTATCATCTTAGAGGAAAACATACACGATCTTATCATTTTTCTCACAAGGCAATAGTAGGCTTTTTCTCAATCAGTCTAACCAGCAGGGAGGATGAAATATAATAAAATTTTTTATAATAAAAAACAGTAGTGATAAGCTCTTTTTAAAAATTCCTTTAGAGTGAGAGAGAGAAGATTAAGCAGGGAGCATTTAGAGAAAGCTAAGTGTCTTTCGTAAGATGTACAATCAGGCAGATCTAAGTTTGCATGTGGGGTTTGCCACACAGTAGCTTTGCAAAATTAGACGAGTTAGGTAAACTCTGACTCCCAGTGTCTTAATCGATATGTAAGTGATGCAAATAACTATGTTCATATGGTTGTTATATAAACTGCATAAAAGCACCTGGCACATTTTTCGGCACGGAGAAGGCAAAGAGTGTATGCCTATGTTCTTCCCTGCCAGAGAAATCAAATCTTTTCATGAGAGAATCAAACAGCATGTAGACTCTTAAATAGTAAGTTACCTTAAAGCTCTTGGTTCCCAAACAAGTTCCAGGAGAATGAGGACTCTAACAGTCGGGGACATGACATGTCCCCAAATATTATCATGAGCCTACTATCCAACGTCCCAGGACAGGGGGAGGGGAGAGTGAGATTGTAATCCTCAGATTGTGAGACATAAAATGCAAGAAATCAATTACAAAAATGATACAATAAAAACCATAATTCTGTTCATCTGGCTGCATCAGATTAAATTCCCTATTACACTGCCCTGCATATGTTTTCTAGTTACATGGGGTTAGGCAGATCCTTATCACTAACACTTTCCTTCAGTCTCCGTTTCAAGTCTCAGGAAAGCTATCCCTGACTCTCCAGACAAGCTTAGCTATCTTATTATGCACAAACACAGCACCTTGAACTTCTTGAATGTTTATAAATCTTCAGTGTCTGCATGCTACATGACAGGGAAGGGGCGGGGCTACTGCCACTTAATTTACTATCATATCTGCCATGACCCCACAGTGCCTGACCCATGATCAACACACAATTGTTAACTTTCAAAAAGATTTATCCAAGGTAAAAAATGAAAACCAAGACAGACTTCCATCCCTTTTGGGTGGAGTGGCATGGTACTACATCTGAGAGACCACACCTCATCACTCCCCCACTTCAGGGATGCTCTGCCAAGGGTGGGTCATAAGCTGACTGCACGAAAGAATATTCTAATATATGATTCAGCTAAGAAAGACACTAAAATGTGAACAGTAAAGATGAATAATTTGATAATAAATTAATAAAATATAGTTTAAAATTAGTTCTTAGTGTTTCACTTGGGAAATTGCTATAAAATCACCTACTTTCATAGCTGAAACATTTTTAGTTTTTATAAGGTGCATTTGAGAAAAAAATGTATTGAGTGTAAATTTTAGAATTAAATCTATGTGCTTTACCTAAATGCCAATCTAGGAATCTCAGTCATACAGACTGTGACAATATCACTCAATTATTAAGAATGTGTGAGACACATCTGGTATAAAACTATGTGGCGTATAAAACTTAGGGTGGGAACAGAGCAATTAATTTCTACAGTGCTGTTTTATAAGTTGTAAATGGAGAGAATACCTCATTCAGAAGATTGTTGTGATTACTAAATAATGTAATTACAAAATGTCTGGAGCACAGTAATTAGTAAACAACATTAGCTAGTATTAACTACTACAAGGACAAATATGGGGAACCAGCTTTCATTTCTGTGGCTGATGGCCACCACCTTGTGGCACAATTCCTAAATAGCAAGTTGAACTCGGTGTGGTATATGCTTAATGGAGAAAATGTAAAATAAAAGTTTGGCATGATGAAAAGGACTATCAAATATATCAAAAGTCGAAATCAGAGGCATCATCAATGAAAAAGAACCTTATGTAAATTACTATTTATAAGAACTAGTTCTCCTAAATATCTATAGCAACTCAGGTATTAGATAAAGCCCCCTGGGTTCTACAGGTAGAGTATTAGACTACAGGCTCCTGTCTGAGGTACTGTGTCTATAAAGATCTGAAGTCACATTAATATGGGAATCAGGGACCATCATATTATCTAAGGAGTGCTATAGGAATTTCTGAAGTAATGGTATATAGCCATAAGATTCAGAATATCAGAATATTATTATTCCTAGCTCCTTTCTCAAAATTATATATGTGACCTCTGAGATTCTGAGATCTGATTCTAAGATCAGATACTTATAGAACTGACAGGTCAAGTTTTTATCGGTCGCATAAAAATGTGTCTAGAGTGTACAAACGTATTGTGCTAATGCAATGATGCTTGTCGTGGGTAAAATGCACTGCTTAGGGTCTTAGATGCAAAGTCTTCTAGCTTCTCACAACTCTTAACAAGTCAGAATGTCAGTGACAGTATTCTAAATCTTTAAGAGAATATAAGCAGCAGTCATAATTATCACAAGTATACTACTACTCAGAAAAGGTTTTTAGTTATTTTTTATTTCAAACCGACAACTGTAATTTCAGTGATGAATGGAAAACATGTTTTTTCATAAATCACTTTTTTGTTTATATTCACCTATTTGCCTATGGAAGATATTTTTACCAACTTTCTAAAATGCTATTTTATATATAATGTATATATAAGTGCTATAATATATATTAAATATATAATGAATTTATGTAGAGAAAAGTATTTGTGTATGTAATTTAAGAAAATTAAGAATTCCAGGGAAGTCCAGGAACATTTAAGGAAAATTTATAATTCTGAAGTATCCATATCATTAGGTGCCAGAAACTTTTGATATGCCTTGAGAGACATTTTAAAGCCAATCATATTCAAATAAGTTCATCAGCATAAAATATTAGGTACATAATTAAAAAGCAAAGAAATGAGAATAATTTACATATGTCAATGAATAGTTGTTTACTCATTTTGGTAAACTATTTACATATATATTATAGAGATTGATTGGCTTTAGGGACACTATATAATTGGTGGAAAATTATTTTAAAAAATCCCATAGATCAACATCCAAATGATATATTTTTTGATTGTACATAACCCGCACAGGTGCATAAAATTCAACATTCCTTAAAGGTTTGACCAGTAATAATTAGCTAACTTGAGAACTAACCAATTCATGAAAATTGTGTTTGGTGCTAAAAATATCCACGTCTTTTGTAGATGAAGGTCTGTGTGTCATAATAAATAAATCTGTTTTATGTTATTCTATCTTATCAAATTTGGGTCAGAAATTTTACTGTTATATCATTTCTGTAAGCTCAACTTATTTCAACTGAAAAAAATTGTCAATTCAGTTATCAAAGAAATCAAAATGGTGATATGGCATTTTATAAATTGAAGTTTGATTTTAAGTTTAAAAGTGGAAGAGTGGTTGAGATAAAATTCACATGTTCATAAATAATTACTGTCAAATGAATGAAACAGCATAATAATAATTTACGTACAGAAAGCGGTATTTTTAACCCTTCTAAGATTTCAGGGTTTACTTATCATTTTAGACCCATATAGAAAATAAAAAACAACATTCCAATTATTTTATCATCAAGATAAAATAACACTACTGACATGTGGCTACTACTTGACATTAATTCGATATAGATCATTAAGGTAACAAAAGGTAGAAGACATTTGATAAAATTATCTAATCCAACTTTTATGATATGTTTATCTTCTCTTTCAAGAAATTCCCAGAAGTTTTGAAACCACAGGACATTCAAAATTGATTTCCTTCTAGATGGTTATATATTCACACTTGTTCTTTTATTTAATGCTTTTAAAAGGTTTTATGTATTTTTAAATGATGACATCCTTTCATCTTCTTTCAAAGTAAGTTATTTTATAGTGCATTAAAACCCTTTCTCGGAAGATACCTAAACTTAATCAGATTGTTTTAATTTAGCAGCATACTGCTGCCCTCTAAAGGGCAAATTGGCTTAGGCCCCTCAGAAGTGATCATAGTGAATACTGAAAGTCTTGGAAAATACATTATAGACAATACTCAAGGAGTATTAATGACATTATTTGTTCTTGATGATTTTGATAGTACCAACCACAATTTTCAGTGTCTATCTTACTGATAGATTCTATAAGCAAATGCAACTTACTTAAAATTAAGCCTCTATTAACATTAGACCTCATAAAATTTAAAATTTTTGAGTTTTCTGTATATACAAGTCCCTTCCCAAGATATGAAATTCCTCTGTGACTAAAATAAGTGATTGAATATTGAGGGGAAAAAATTCTCACTCAAGATCAAAAGAATTGCCTCATTCTATTTTAAAATACAGACAGCATTAAGTTTTCTCAACATTGTTAAAAACAAACCATGGTAAGTAAAAGAATGGACCATGACATATATGTATTTGTAATACCAAACACCAACATTTCCATTATTTGGGAATGGCTTAATACAGTGTGATGTATGTGTGTGTGTGTGTGTGTGTGTGTGTACATATGAATATGTATGTACTGCTTTTAAAAAGTTGTTTATGTGCAAAAAATGACACAACTGTGGATTAGGGAGAGCAAATCAAAGAGCTGTCCATTAATGTCTGCCCTTAAAAACTGCTGAATTTAAAAAGACATCTTTACTTACTCGTAACGTCAACACATTGGTTACCGTACAACGACCATGCATTTCCATACTGGTCAACTGGTGTATGTTTAAGCCAAATCCCTAAAGCGAGTCTAGAAAATTATTCTACTCCTAAAGTTTAATTGTTGATAAAATCTGTTTCATTTGGTGTGTTTATAAACTTTATTTACCTTTTTGATAATTTTTAATAACTTGTCATGTTTTCTTCAGCCTGTGTTATTTCTGTTGTGCTTTTTAAGAAAAATTACGACGTACTGAAAAGGAAATAAAGAACACTATTACTATGTGGATGAAAGGTTCTATATCTTTTATTTTTAACTTGTAGATGTTGAGTTGCCACCACTGAAACTTTTACATTCATTTTGTGCTTTGAAAGCGGATAATGGCCCATGCAGAGCAATGATTACACAATTTTTTTTCAACATTCACACTCAACAGTGTGAAGAATTTATGTATGGGGGATGTGAAGGAAATCAGAATCGATTTGGAAGTCTGGAAGAGTGCGAAGAAAAATGTATGAGAGGTAGGTTTCTAGAGACACTTATCACCCAGGAGCCTTTAGGCTCCTTTAACTTTTTAAAAAAGTTTAGGGTTATTAGATCTAATTATAGATTTGATAATTTTAGGAAAAGAAGTTAGAACTATTTGAACATTCCAAGGAATATTCTTTTCACATTTTTGGCATTCATGTTCAACTACTATTTTTCATTTTTCATATTAGTTATTACAAATTATATTAAGCCCCATTTGTTATCCTATATTTTTCTCTATAATAAAGAAGAAAAACCTTTAAGTTCACTGATTTTATATCTGCAGTGAAGTGGGTATAATTCAGCCTCCTGGGCAGCTATGAGTTGGCATGAAAGAAACAGTCATATTGACTTAGTCTTCCCTTTATCAGTATAGTGATCTTATAGCTATCTCCTGTCAAAATAATGAATCTGAGAATCCACTTTGAGGCTTTCAGTAACTACTAATTAGAAAATTCTAAACTGCATCAGAGAGCAGAAATATATATATGAAAATTAAGTCATTCTCTTTAGGGCCTTAGAATATTGTAGAAAAGAAAATATGAACCTTACTGAGCCATGTAGACTTTACCAAGCCCAACTTTTCATATTTTTACTAATTTATAATGTTTAAAAGTATATCATATTATATTGTTGGTAAGTTTTATGGGACACTTTTATTTTGCTTTAATCCTACTAAAACATTTCCCCCTGAATTTTACAAACTATAATGTGGTTTTATCTCATCTCACTGAGATAAATTCCAGATAATTGCTGGTCAAAATTTTAAATGCTTTTATGTCTGTTTAATTCTCCTGAATTGTGAACTACTTAAGGGATAGAAGAATCTGAATGGTCTTTATCTTCCCAGGGTCTAGTCCCAAATTTCCCCATGGCATGTTATTAGAGCTAGTTGAATTAAATGGTAGTCTATAGAGATGGTATCTTTAGTTAGTAACACTAGGTGTCTTGCTTTTTGCAAAACAGACAGCTCTGCATTCTCACTTTGATAATGCTTTCCCAAACAGCTTTTACAAAATAGCCTTGGCATCATGATGCTCTTGGCCTGTCGGAAAATCTCACTGTGGTGAAAAGAGAGAACTTCTCCCCTGTGTGACTCTGTGAGGTTTTTTTTTGTTTTGTTTTGTTTTGTTTTGGTATATTCCAGAGCTGACAGAAAAGGATTGATGTGAATATATTTCTTTGAACTTGAGCACTTATTTCCTTCTTTCTTCTCCATACAAGTGCTGGAAATGTTACTAAGAGAGATTATGCAGTTCAGTGGTCCTCTGGTGGGCCCCTGGTTTTGGTGATTGCCTGGTCATTTTCCATTCATTATACCTCCTTCTCATCCATACTGGGCCGAGTATCCTTTTGTGTTGAGTTGAATAGCACTCAGGTTCAGCACCTTGGCTAGAGGCCTGGTTGCCTCATTCTTTGTAATTCTCACTTTCTCCTTTAGCAGCCTAACATTTTCATCAGCTGGCCTCTTTCCCACGATACATACCTGTTTCTTTTATTTCACCATCATATAAAAATTACCCTTTTCTTTAGAAATTAATCAAATATAATTATTTCGTTCTTCAGTGACCTCCTTGCTTACAGTATCTTCTAAACATCATTACTACCTAGCATATAAATATGAGTCTCTGGCTTCCATCTCCTTATTACATCTGCAAGAGCCACTTATTGTTTGAATATATGAGTGTTGTGTATAGTAAATTACTGTTAAGGATATAACTAGTATATATAAAAAGGATTGCTAGGTTTTTAAAAAATCACCTAAAGAGACAATTCTATCTTCAGCTATGATGGAAGCGCTGAAACAGAACTTTCTCTCATAATATAAATGATTAGAAAATTAGACAAAATATATGAAGCAACTGTTGGCAGACATGGATCAAAAGGCAGTGCAGGAGGCACCTGGGTGGCTCAGTCGTTAGGCGTCTGCCTTCGGCTCAGGTCATGATCCCAGGGTCCTGGGATCGAGCCCCACATCAGGCTCCCTGCTCGACGGGAAGCCTGCTTCTCCCTCTCCTGCTCCCCCTGCTTGTGTTCCCTCTCTCGCTCTCTCTGTCAAATAATAAAAAAAAAAAGGCAGTGCAGGATTGTGATCCCTTAGAGAAGGGAAACATGTGAGGTGAGTCCAGTCTCCCCAGCTTTCTGCAGGAAGGCACTTCTGAACCATAGCTAAAGGAGGGGAGCCCAAGCACAGGATGGTGGTCTCCCTGGTAGAGAATATGGAGATTGGAGATTAGGAGACTGAGGTCAATGGGTTTTGGGGCATAATATGTGGGAGAGTATGGACATATGTAGAGAAAAAGCTAAAAAGTCAGAACAAGAGTCCCTTTGAGTTTGTCACTGAACAACAATACTGCATGCATTTGGTGAAATTCCATAAGTTAGAGAAAATAATTGTAAGGATTTGTAAATGGAACATCTCCCAGAGCATCCACATGACTGGGAGAAAACCTAATTACATATATGAAAAATTTTAGGAACTTGCAGATGACTTTAGAAATCTCACTGGATAAAAGGACAATGTAAATATTTACACACATGCTGGCAATGAACAAATAGAAAATTAGACAAAATTCTTAAAAAGACAATTTCATTTAAATAATGGAACATGAAATTCTTAGTGATGGATTTAAATAAAAAAGTACATAACATTTACAATGAAATCTATAAAACATTGTTAAAAATTCATTGGCAAATAAAGAAGACTTTAATGAACAGAGATATAAAACAATAGATTGAAAGGTGCGCTTTAGTTGAGATGTAAATTCTCCCCAAACGGATCTGGAAATTTTATCCTAGACCAAATTCCAGCACATTTTGGTTTATATATTAATTAGTCAACTCTAAAAATGATATGCAATACAAAGGACCTAGGATGGCTAAAACAATTCTGAATAAAAGAGCAAATTTGGAGGACTTTATCTGATTTCCTTTTTTTAAAAAAAAGATTTTTTTTATTTTAGAAAGAGAGAGAGAGAGCACATGCACACATGTGAATGAGCAGGGAGAGGGACGGGGCGGGGGGGAGGTGGGGTGGAGAGAAAGAACCTCAAGTAGACTCTGAGCTGAGCTCAGAGCCAATGTGGGCCTCAGTCGCACACCCCTGAGATCATGACCTGAGCCGAAACCAAGAGTCAGATGCTAACAGCCTGAACCACACAGGTGCCCCAGACTTTACCCGATTTCAAGAGTTATAGCACAGCTGCCGAAATTGAGCAGAATGATGTGAGAATAAGGATAGACAGAAATCAGTGGAATAGAATAGTCAAAAATAGACTACACCATCAGAGTTAACTGATTTTCTAAGATGGACACATTATGTTATGAATAGAATAACAGTTTAATAAAAATAAATGGGATGAAAGCTTGTTTTGTTTCAGTCCTGAATGTTGTTACTCTCTGAAGCTCAGTTTCTTCCTGTGCACACTGAGGATGTGATAATCACATAGACCAAAATCATTAATGTTATGTATACTGATATTTATATTACTTGTTCAAGGGAAAGATCCCTTCAAGTAAATAATGTGACTGTAGGCTTGAAAGCACTTAGAAACTTTAGAAAATAATGACATCAAATGTCATTTTATCCTGCAGTGCCTGTTAATATCTCTATCTGCTAAATTACATATTTTTTTCATTATGTTCATAGTTTAAATTTTTACACATGTGTAAAACATGCTGCTTAGTTACCATGATAAGGTATGAATATTATGGAAGCAGCCAGTGAAATCAGTGGCCCTCTTTATGCTGAGAACCTAATTATTTTACAGTTAGCCAAGATCAATGTAATTATTTTGAAAAATTTTTGGTTGTTTTTTGTTTAATATGTGTTAATTACTTAACATTAATCCAACTTGGAATGGAATCAGAAAACAAGTTATCTTTTAATATTACATGAACATTGAAATCAAGCATTTCTATGTTCCCATCCAATGGCTACCGTCAGTAGGCAAAACAGTAAAAATGATTATTTAGCACTCTAGTCTGATGTAATATTTATCTGTATATATTCTTTCTTTGCCCTTATAAATTAAAACTGTAACAAATTAATTGTACATTAAAATATTTCAATATAAGCTTATTATGACAATCCACTATCTAATTGAAACACGTCAACAGTTGGTTATTTACAATGAGAAAGACTCCTGAGGTTTCCTTAATATTTAAAATACAATTATATATATATATATCTTTTTAAAAAGACTATTTAATAAAATATAGGAAAATCTTTTTAAGAAGGCCTCATTACCTTCTCTTTCAAAGATATTTTATATTCAAAAGAATAACCTAGCTGCTGATTTTTGGCTGAAAGGGGCATATAAGCCAACTCATTCCCCCAACTCCCTGTCTCTCTGGCCATACAACTAATTATAAACTGCCTTGACCAAAGCTTTTCTCTGCAGAACATGATTATACAACAAACATCACTCAGCCTTCCTAATGTTTACATGAGCAAATTAAAACTTCACTTATTATATTGATTTGAATTTCATTACCTATCATTTAAATTAGAACTTAGCATCCGTACTTGAATATAGTGAGTCAAAGACAAGCAGCATTCTAGTTTTTGAGTGGAGAAATTCCATTAATTCTTTGAGGTTAAACCAAAAAATATGTCACAGATACCTTTTGCCTCATTTCTCTTCTGTACTTGGAAATAATAATAAAAACTTGTGATTGGGTTGAAACAATGCAGCAGGGGAAGGAATCAGGAAAGGAGATAATTCTGGTTTCTTCCACCCCTACTACCAAGTCTCTACAGAAATTATCTGTTTTGATATGCAAAGTATGCTGCTTGAATTACTTTCATATTTCACATTATCTTAATGTTTTTCAATCATAGGTGTTTTGAATAGCAAATGTAGTTCACCATGAATTCTTATTTTTGTCAATGTGTTAGAAACTTTCAACACCAGTTTTGACATTATGTTAAAATGCAGATGGCCTCATATCTATAAAAATTAAAATTATTTAATCTTTAGAGAAAATAAGAAATTTAAGCTATTTATTGATATTATGTATAAGAATAATTTTAATGGTAATAAATACATCATCCTAGTTTGTTAAATTGAAATTTATATATAATTTATTTATATAAATTTTGATAATTGACGCACATACTGTTTTTTCTTGCAGTTTATCCACAGGCCAAGACAGAGACAACATTAGAAAAAGGTAAACATTCATTTATATGCTAATTAGAATTTATACAAGACACTTAGAAATTCAATTCTTAGTTTTCTTTGATATGGACTCCATCATAAATCCATACAATCTTTGAAATGGTGTTTTATTTCAGTGGATATAATGAAAAATTTAAAATAACATATATGATATTTGGTATGGAAGTCTTCAAACACTATATTTACTCTCATTCTAATGCAGAATGATATTTAGTATTAGATCAGTCGAATTCCACAGCCATGCACATGCTATTTTAACATCTGTTGAACAGTAATTTAGATGCTGTTAGTTCTCAGATCTCTACTCCCTTGATAATCTCAGCATTGTGTATCTTTAGCAAGTTATATCCAGTATTTCCCTGAATTGATATATGTCTTTGAGTTGTCAAAGTCTATATGCAGAAGTAAATGGAGATATTTAACAATAAGTGATTGCTCTTGTCAACATTAGTGTGTGTACATAGCTTTTATGATTTAAATTATTTATTGGTTTTAGCTAAAAATAATTTTCTGATTAAAATGTTACATTAGCACATGAAAAAATATATCAGTAGATCAAGAAAGACACTCCTTTTAGTAAACGTCTAGAAGCTGACTTGGTCCAATTACCATTTATGTCATCTACATTTGAATGACAAAATACTGAACAAAGGGATCAAATTATTTAACTTGGGAAATGAAAGAGTTACAAAATTCAAACTGTATTTTAATTTTTCTGACTTTGATTTAATTGTGTGAGAAAGAGTTGAATGCTTTTGTGACTGATACTGAAGACTTACTAGACTGAATCAAAATTTATAAAATAAATTCACTTGCAAAGATTGTACAAACACTATCAGTGGATGTATTTATTTACAAATTTTAAAATAGCTTTCTATAAAATTGAATTAATCTTTACTGAAATGTTCAATGTTTCAATTAAATGAAATTCATTATCTGTAGTATCAAAGAATACAGGATATTTACCAATAGAGGGTTTTATCCACCAAGTAAAAGATGGTATTTTTGTGAAAGGAAATACCAACATTTAAATGTTAGGGTATTTTTTCAAAAATGTGAAATTAGGAAAAAAATGTATGCAGATAAAATTTACTATAAAATTATGCTATTTAATGTATATTTAATGATTTGGAATTCAATCATTCTTTTTCTTCTAATTCATATTAATTGATATTTTTCCAAAAATGCAATATTTTATTTTTACCAAAGTTAATTGGCTCCAAACAGTCAAAAACTGACAGTGTATGAAAAACAATCTTATAAATTATAAAGCACAGTATAAATTACTAGGTGTGAGGAAAACAAATATGGCATGCAGAGGGGCATACCTCTGCTATGAACTAGAGGAATCACTTCTGCTATTTGAACTATTTCCTTGACTATAAAATGAGCACATTCAGGGAAACAGAGCTCTTTTACCTTTAACAAGTTCTAAATCTACATTTTTTATGAGTTTTGTCAGATTGGTACTAACTTGATTAAGAAAAAAATATAACATTTCCTTAAATACAAAGTAAAAATGTTCTCCATTCTGTGTAGGTTTATGGATTTCTTAATCCTAGAATAGTGGTAGTATTCAATAGCAAAATAACGTCTCCTAAATTTTGATTATAACCTACTGAGTTCATTACCTTGCTTTGCTCAGCGAGATCACCAAGCCTCCAGAATCCCCAGTCTATAGAGTTCAACTTCAGCATTTATAGGAGATATGACAATAAGTAGGAGACCCAAGGATGAGGAATTTGCTTTGTCAAAGGAAGATCAAAGATCAAGAGGCAACTTGAATGAATTACATTTGTCAAGAGTCAGGGAGGAAGGTTGGAAAGTCACCTGGCTTAGCAGGTGGTGAGAGAGCAGTAAGGTAGATAATGTAATTAGTGTCCTAGTTAGGAGTTCCTCTTCTCTTCATCTTTAACTGATATTACATATGGAAATTAGAGAATAAAGCTAATCAATACTATTCACATGTGTTAAACAATGTTCAGATGCCAAAACCCATCCATAATAAAGACCTCTAGACATATCCACTTCAAGTTAACTTTGTGATATGCTTTTGGAACAGTTACAAAGACAACCTCTTTGAAATAGTTTGGTTAAGACAATTGTCAAGTATGCAGCCTCAATTAAAAGTTAATAGTAAAACTTAATGTGGTTTGTGGAAGTTTGTAGCTTAAAATCTGTATTCTGTGTTTTAACCAAGCATCAGTCTAGAGCAAGGATTGTGTATGCAGATTTAGTACGACTGTTACTTTATCTGAGGAATATAGGGCATGAATTTCTTGATTTGTAACCTTATTTTAAACTGTAGGCCCAAGCGGAATTATTTTACAAGTGTGCAATGTCAACTTTGTCCTAAAATTTATGTCCTAGAATGGAGCCTCATAAATAATAGCAACTTCTAGTTGCACAATTTCTTAATTATACTTCTCAGCATAATTTCTTATTATTTTCTATTCTTTATATGCAGTATATTTTACCTACTCCTTTTTGTTAAACACAGAATTCTTATATTCTCTGTTAAGATGATTTAAAATTTCATAAGAAGTACATACTAAGGCCAAAACAAATCGAAATAATAGCAATTGAATGTATTTTTCCTCATTGTCTTATAAAAAAGTTTTACAAAAATTTAAAGGATTATTTTTTTTCCTTGTCCCATAAATTACACTTAACCACAAATTGTTGCTATGGGGATAATAGTAACATTCACCTTGAGAAACAAGAGGCAATAAACAATAAACAAAACTCTCAAATTGGTACTTTGAGAAGTTATAGAAGATAGATATTTTACACTACATTAAAATGGGATGTTTTATTAATAAAACAATGCTCTCATGGAGATCAGCCTTTCCAAAGATTTGCAACTGTTGCAGAAATCATTAATATTAAATATATGCTTTTTTTATAGTAACCTCCCGAGTGTTGCTTCCCTGAGATAGAACAGGTTGCTTTAAAATGGAAAAGGATATTACAGTTCATTTTTGCCACTCTGATAATACAGTTGCAGGGATAAAGTGGGGAAATTGGAGCTTTCCCCAATTTAAGCCCCATATATCTTGCAATCGTAATTTTGAAAATAAGTTTAATTCTCTTCTTTACAGAGTATGCCTGTAGACAAGGCTTGTAATGTAGATCACAGTAGCACAATTGCTGTGACAGCTGTGTTTAATCTGGTTTGGAGCGCTATCAAAGAATGGGCATTAGATTTTTTTCAAAAGCCTCTCCAATCCCTGAACATGTATTTCCTTTCTGCCTTTGCACGGCTGGAGTCACTCCAATGTCAGGAAGAAGAAAAACAAGAGACACACTGGTGGAGGATGTCATGCCTAACCTAATACAGATTCCAGAATAAGAATTCAGGAACTTCTAAGAATAGCCATGAAAGCTTCCACACGCCTCAAAGCTTCTCCTCCAATATTTTTAAAATTGAAACCGTTGTAATGAAGCAACACATTACACTTCTTTCCCTAATGGGAGCCTATACCTGAAAAATATGAAATATTCCTACTTCTTTCCTAAATGTCAATGCCTGTACGCCTAAAAAAATAACTGAACCAAAATTTTGCCATAACATTTTGTAACATTATGAATTTTGGAATATTTCTTCCAAACCAAGGGTAAAATAACATATTTTACTCTTTCAGTTCCTGAAATGGTTGATAGTTAGATGCCCTATTAATTTATGATGAGAAATTTAGAACTTGAAATTCCAGTAGCAACAATATGTGACAATAGATACATCTTCCTTATTCTAAATGTCACAATAGACATAGTGGACAATTTTAATATTGTGCGGTTGTGGATAAAGTTCCGTTTTTACCTTGTATCTTTAACTTTTCATGTTTACTCCTTAAATAACTTCAACTTGGTTATTTTGTACATTTAATCAGTGTAATTCAATTATTCACAAAAAAGTATATTACTTTCTGACATTTTTATAATTTCCAGAAAAGCCAGATTACTGCTTTTTGGGAGAAGACAGTGGAGTCTGTCGAGGTTATATAACTAGGTATTTTTATAACAATGAGTCAAAGAAATGTGAAGATTTCAAGTACGGTGGGTGCCTTGGCAATCAAAACAACTTTGAATCACTGGATCAATGCAAGCAAACCTGTGAGAGTTTAGGTAAGTTTATTTCCCATCTCATTTTACTTCATTTACAGGCATTCTTTAAAAAATAAGGCAACTTAAAGGATGTTCAAGTTTACCTAGATTTTTGTTTCAGCCATACAGATGAAGTAGCATCCACTAAATTTGATAAAAATCAGTCACTGTGTTAACTTAAAAAAAAAAAGGAACAGAAAATTAAGACATGTATAGGGGAACTTATTTCCATAGATTTATTTTACGTTACATTATTTAATTTTCTTTCCTGAGAATTTTAGTGCAATGTAAGCATAAGAATAGGGCTGCTGAAATCCCTTAGGTTTATAACAATTTGAGGACAAATAGTTCTTTGGAACCTACCACCTAAAATCAATCAGTTTTACCTGACCATGAAATTTATTAAAGGATGCCTTAAACTTTAACTGTTACCTTTTTTTGACCAAGAACTACAAAGTTACTCACAGAAATATGATCTTACTAACAATATGTATAAATATAAAGATTTACTGTTCATTAATTTAACATAGCAATGTGAATAAAATTTCTAGAAGTCTCCTTTTTAAAGATTTATTTATTTGAGAGAGATTGTGTGTGTGCGCGTACATGTGCGCATGAGCTGGGGGAGGGGCAGAGGGAGAGAATCTTGAAACCGACTCCCCGCTGAGTGCAGAGCCCGCTGGGGGGCTCCATCTCAAGACCCATGAGATCATGACCTGAACCAAAATCAAAAGTCTCAATGGACTGAGCCACCCTGGTGTCCTTGGATGTCTACTCTTCTTCTTCTTCTTTTTTAAAGATTTTATTTATTTATTTGACAGAGAAACCATGAGAGAGGGAACACAAGCAGGGGGAGCAGGAGAGGGAGAAGCAGGCTCCCCACTGAGCAGGGAGCCTGATGAGGGGCTCGATCCCAGGACCTGAGCGGAAGGCAGACGCTTAACAACTGAGCCACCCAAGCACCCCGATGTCTACTCTTCTTAACACAACCGCTGTGCTTTGCTTTGTGTGTATAATTATGGACTTATGTCAATGTTGTATTTTAATTGGCTGTATTTTTTTTTCCAGTGAATGATCTTCAGTTGGAACAAGCTGTGAATAATACAGTACTGCCTGAGTCTACGGGTAGTACAATACCATTTAATCCTGTGAATAGTCCAACAACGTTTGATGTTACAAATACCGTGTCCCCGCCTGATTCTGTGAATAATGATTCCATCACTCCCCAGCCTACCAAGGTTCCCAGCTTTTTTGGTAAGAATCTTTTTTTTTTTTAAATTGCTCCCAGAAAAATATTTTGGTAACAATAGAAGTGGAATGTATATTAGAACCTTGCTTTTTTTTAAAAAAATATATAGCTCTTGTTCTCTAATAATAGGTGTGTGGAAATATTGAGATTCAAAATGTTTGTCTTTCAATCCCATCAGGGTGATAATTTTCCTCTATTTTAAAGTATGCCTTGAAGGAGGCTTCTGATTGTATATCATATGAAAACTTTCCTATGATATTTAACTCTATGCCAAATTTATCTTATAAAATAATGCTCAGAATTATCAGCATCAATGTCTGATGGTAAATTATTATAATGGCAGCATTGAGTCAAAGGCAGTAAAGTGCTCTTTAACTGAGCACGGCATTGGGCAAGGTCTCAGGTGTTTAGTCACAGGACAAATTAGGAATTTGTTGAATAACCACCACCAAAGGTTATGTCACTCTGAAGAGAATTGTCTTTTGGATTTCTGCAAAATTCTCTTCTGGGCTATTCCCTGTCAATGTATTTACCAAATTTAAACAAACATACAGGAAATATGCCCACAAAAAATGCAGAGCTGGAAAATAGTAAAAATATTGGAAAACATAACCAGAAACTACAAATATCTGGGCAGTTAAAAACAATTGAGAGAGCTGAAAGTTAACAGGATAAATATAAGGTCCAACCTAAATTTTAAAAATCACATGTGCTCATTCACGAATTGGAGATCTCACTTCGAAGCAGTCCAAGTGAAAGTTTCAAATGTAAACGTGATACGAGTTGAAAGAGTTCTGTAGCTATTAAAATTGTAGGGTAAAAAGAGACAGTGTGTGGAGCAGGGGTTCTCCACAGCAGCCGTGTGTCAGAATCCAGTGGGAATCAGAATCTGAAAGTCTTTGAGCATCTCTTTACACAAACAAATAAGCAAGCAAGCAAACAGCAGACAGAAGTTCTGCCCAGATGGATTTAAAGCTGCACATGTTGACTATTCCCTACCTGGAACGAAGGATGTAAATATCAAGTTCAGTGCCACACTGACCTGATCATGTCTGAGGGCTTTGCTTCAGCTCTGAATGCCATACCTTAGAGGCCACAAAGAGAACTGGAAACATGTTTACAGAAGGCCTGGAAAAGTGCAAGGAGATGTGAGATCCAAAGAGGGAACATTATATATGCTCTCAGTACTTGTAGCACTATCATGTGAAAGAAAAATTAAGTTCTATACATCCCTCACCCCCCTTCTCCCCACATCCCTACCCTTCCTTATTTCCCTCAACCCCGCCGAAGAATCAGGATTGATTCGTGAAATCTAAAAGTATAAGTTTCTTTCTGTAAAGTGTTTATTTTTTAATGTGAGGTCTTAAAAAATCAGTGGGTACCACAGGAATGAGAGTCCCTAAACTGCAGGTCTTCGAGCAGTGTTCTAATAGCACTTGAGATGTCATGAACAGCATGCAGAATTTCAGAGGGAGTTTGAAAACGGTATATTCAAATGCCTTCAGGTCCTTAGATTGGATTCTATAATTAGAGCAATGAATTCAATGCCAGATGAATTTGAGTCTAGTTTTTAAACACTACTTTGTTTGTAATAATGATAATAAATAGCTTTGTAGTTCTGATTTATCTGTGAAATTAAGTAATTTCATTGCATTGTTTCTTTGTGTCCTTTCAGCCCTGTGTCTTTCAGTGACATTTTGTTTTATCCAGTTAAGTATCACATGTTGAAAAGCATGCTAAATCTTATTGTGTGAAAGATGTGAAAGTTTAGAATGACAAACTTAATGGGTTTAAAGAGACATGTGATACAATATATCTACTAATAAAATAAATGCATGAAATCAATTTTCAATATGTTTCAATATTTTTTGTTTGGATTGCTTCACTAATTCAGATAGAGATCTATATTCATTTGTCATTATAATGAATGGAGTAAGAAGAAAGTTTTGCCTTAAAGTTTTATCAAGTATAAAAATCATGATTTTTGGCACGCACACTGCCAAAATAGAAAGGAGGAGACAAAATATGTGTGAGAAAGTAAATGAGTTTTAAATACTGTCTGATAAATGTCCTAAGTTTTTATATAGTTGCACAATGAAAAGTATAAAAAACAAACAAATGGTTATAACAGTAAATTATTAACTAAGGAAACAGTAAAAATTCACAACATGAATCTAAAAGAAAACAAGATTAAATGGATTTTTATTGAAAACAATAGACATTTAATTCTTTCATAGTAAGTGCATTTAAAATTAGGGAAAATCTTCCTCCTTTGTCTAGAGAATTATTTTTTTTATTGTATATACTTGCCTCAAAACCTAAATTTCTCTAGCCAATTTGACCCTTTTTCTTCTTTTTCTAGGAGTATTCATTTCTCATTCTTTTGTTTTGTAACATTCCTAAGTTAAAGCATGAAATAATGTTGCAATAGCTACTATAGGAAGTTTGATACGAAGAGTGGCTAACATGAAAAGGGGGACAATGAAGCTGTGCCCTCACTCTTTTTAAGATCTACTTGATCCCTCGTCCACCTCATCCAAGAGGCAGAAGGTGGAAATTCAGCCATCCCTCCTCACTAAGACCTAGATGAGCCCTCCTCGACCTCATCCAAGTAGCATAATGTCAGAAGGCAATTGTGCCCCTACTTTTCCTATACCCAGACTATCCCTTTCCTACTCCACCAAAGGCTTTTGCTGAGGTCTATGAAGACACTTGATATTCCAGCTCAAAAATAATTACATCTGTCAGTGCTTGCAATTATATTAATATATTTTACTATAATTTAAGAAAATATGATTCTATGCTTATGTAAAACCTTGTGGTTCAAGGTTTTAGCAAATGTATAAGCTTCTCTGCATTAGGTTCTTTTGAAAAGATGTAAATCGTTTTAATTTTGATTCAGTGCATAGGAATAATAACATGCCCCACAATAAAAATAGGATAGCATTCATTTAAAATTCTTTCCGTTAAATAACAATCCTTAGAGTATTGGAATATTCCAAAAATATAGCTAGATTATGCTATTGTTATGAAGGAGAATATTTGTAAATATAATTTTAATGTTTCTCTTCATGATAATAGGAAAGAAATCTTTTAGAAGTTTTGTTCGCTGTTTATTCTTAACTACCATGATATTGCATATAAGCTTGAGAATTTTTTTTCCAGTGAGCCCTCTTGACTGAAAATATTTGAATGCTTACCAAGTGCAATCTAGGTTTAATTTTCTCTGTTTATTTCCAGATTTCCTTATTAGTAGGCTATATAGGTATCTCAAAGATTGAGGCTTGCTCTTCCTTAAAGAGATTTTTATAAAATCTTTTGTAAGCAGATCCATATGTACAAGTGAGAGCAAAGTATTTGAGTTTGGATTGGCTGAATTGATGAGTATATCCACGTAGGTAAAATAAATGTTTGTTCTCACTACATGTGTGAGAGAAATCATCCTAAAACAATCCCTCTAAACATATGTAGTTCTGTACACAATCTTCAGAATGAAAAACTACCACAATTAGTTTTTCTTGACTTTTCCCTTGAGACTAGCACTACAGTATAGTAGATAAAAGACTCCGAGCCTGAAGAGTCGGGCTCAAATCCCAGTACTTCCACTTATTAGCTGTGCAACCTTGAGTTACTTCTTAACCTCTCTGAACCTTATTTCCCACTGTAAAATGAGGATGGTAATAATATAGTACTCACCTTATAGGTTTTGTTGTGAGGTAAAATCAGTCAATATACATGGCTCACTTAGCATGGTGCCTGATACCTATTCCATGCTATGGAAATATTACTCATTATCATTACCTGTGGGATTCAGAGCAATACCCCTAACTTCCCAGGCCTTAGTTTCTAACCTGCAAAACAACTCTTTGTAAGTTCTTCTTTGCAGAAGTTGATGTTTCAGACACTCATAAGATCTCTACTTAGGGCGCCTGGGTGGCTCAGTTGGTTAAGCGACTGCCTTCGGCTCAGGTCATGATCCTGGAGTCCCAGGATCGAGTCCCGCATCGGGCTCCCTGCTCGGCGGGGAGCCTGCTTCTCCCTCTGACCCTCCCCCTCTCATGTGCTCTCTGTCTCTCTCATTCTCTCTGTCTCAAATAAATAAATAAAATATTAAAAAAAAAAAGATCTCTACTTATTCAACTAAGTCCATCAGTACACATACAGTCACAAAACTATAATTAACCTTTCAAAGGGAAAGGACAATAGATCTAAATTGATACATATATGGAAACTTACACAGTTCAAATGTGTTTAGTAGAAACAAGTTGAGAATATTGTCATGTAGAAGTATCATGGGGCTTTGAAGCCATAATCATTATATCAATAATCATTAATAAATAGTTATATATCAGACACGTTAAAGAAAACATTTCTTATATGTATGTATATAGACACATGCATATATATGTATGTATATGTGCTTATGTGTGTATATGGAGAGACAGAAAAAGACAGAGACTAAGAGAGTCATATACAACATGTATTAGGTACAACATTTTTGACATTGCTGTCCTAATTCCATACATCCATTATATTAGGGTTAGAGTATCTTTAATCAAGCAAGTTTATGTATTTCTCTTGCTTTACAGAAAAATAAATTAAAAACTTAACAGATACATTCTTTCTGTGTTAATTTAGCCTCATCCACTTGTCTTAGATTTGTCTGCATTATCTGTTGGCCCTCTAACTAGTCCAGATTTTTGTCTCACTAAATACAAGATTTTTCTGTCCCTTCCGAATAGACATTGTCATTAAGTAGAACTTATCTACTCTGTTATTAGTAAACACAAATTATCCATTCTTATGGCTCCTAATGTTTTGTTTGGTTTCTCCTTCCTAAAATTCACTGGCCCTCCTATGTAAGCTGCCTTTTCACCCCCACAAGGAAGTCTTCTTCCTCTCCCTTTCTCCTGGCTTCCTATTTTGATTCCCTTAATGCTTGTATTAGTTGATGTTGTTTTAGCTCTGCCTCACTGACTAGATTACAAGTTTTTTGAGGAAAGAG